CACCAGCCGACCAAGGTTGGCTGAAGCCCCTGTAACACATTCAGAACCTTCCCCCGAACACCAGCCGACCAAGGTTGGCTGAAGCCCCTGTCACACATTCAGAACCTTCCCCCGAACACCAGCCGACCAAGGTTGACTGAAGCCCCCTGTCACACATTCAGAACCTTTCCCCTGAACACCATGTGTGACTGGTGCTTAAAATTTATTTTGATGATAACTCTTTTTTTACAATCTGTAACTCTTGTAGCTGAAAACCTTGGACAAGGAAAACACATTCTGCAACCAAAGCACACAAGCAATTAAGTCTTCTGATATTCTGTCTATTTCCAATGCTGATGACATTACCAGAATTATGAAACTCTTTCTTTTACGAGCTGTAACTCTGTCTCTGGTAACTGAAAACATTGGGCAAGGAAAACACATTCTGCAACCCAAGCACACAAACAATGATGATATTCTGTATATTTACCAATGCTGATGACATTGAGTCCCTCTGACAGCTGTGAGTTTTGTGTCTGTAGAAGGTAGGGTATGCGGGTATCGTCTCTGGGATCTCTGCCCTCAGTATAAATGGTGATGGCCAGCTCTAGGTTGTCCAGGATGTGTTGGTAACCTAGCAGAAAATACATTTGGTATCTTCAACAGACTTACATGTACGAAATATTACTTTGTGTAGTAATCTGCCCCCCAAAAAAATTTGTTTATAGATAAGATTATTGCAAGTTCATGCCATGGGCTAATTGCAAGTAACAAAGTAATGATAACAATGAAACAAAGTACAAAAGAATGATAAAAGCTGCTTATCAACATTTAAATTGTCTAAAACGATGTATGGGTTTGACTTCTGTGTAAGCCATGGAAGACATAGATACATTGTAATGTCATACTTTTCCCACGATCTGGGTTTTGGGTACATGTAGCTAAAAGAAATAAAGTAGTTTTTTTAATCTTTAAGCTTATATTTATAAGTTAAAGATCCCACCACACTTATGGAACAGAACAGGGGTCATTCCCTGTGTGAGTGGTTCAAACCTTTTCAGTTTGATCTCCAAGTTGATCTTGAAGAAGTGACAGTCACCTGTTACATGTATGTCACTCCTTCCACAAATGTGGTAAAGCTTCATAGATAAATTTAAAACAAAACACCTGTAATGAGTCCCTGGGCTGTGGTTGGAGCTCCCATCTCAGGCTTCAGTAGATAGTCCCACATCCATGGTTGGGCGTGGTACTCTGTTTCCACGTCCTGGCCACCATTTCCTGTATGGTACAGAAGGCAAGGTAATGGTTCTTAGAACATTGATAGCTTTTCATTGTGTAATTCTACAAAACCTGAATTGGCTCTCAAGACTGAAACAACTTTTAGACATCTCATCACTTAGACCATTTGAGCTTTCATGTTATTTTCATTTTCAATGTTGATATACAAAGGATGTTTAAGCAAGATGCAAGACAGAATGTTCTGATTGACTAACACTAATCAAGGGTTCTGGCTTTAGGATATACTTCATTTAGTAACTTTTACAGGGACTCTACCATACAGTAAATAGTTCAGCACCAAAGACAGGGGCCATAGCACCAGGAATGCCTGATATTGTTTTTACCTCCATGTAAAATGTAGGTATTCTTTTTGGTCTGTGTATGTGTGTGTGTAAATGTATATGTTTCTGCATGCAGTAGATATCGAATAATCTCTTCTAGCGTTAAAATATAGTCTTTCCAAGATGTAAACTTTAAGGTTACTATGTGGCCAACAGTTTTACAGTCAAATCCTGCCTGCTATGTATCATAGGCAGGTCCAGTGGTGTTTAAAAAGTTTTTTTCACCACACAATGTATATGGCAGTGCCAATCTCTGGCTCCTTAGCCCTTAGGCCACACAGATGTGCAAGCACAGGTAATACTACAGCAGGGGGCTAGTCCACTGGTAGCAATGTGTGTTCAACTTAGATACTCCATAGCAGTATGTACCATTTTAAAATAATAGTTGATGTGACTTCAGGAAAGCAAACCTGCAACATACCAATCTTGAAGTTTGTTTATTGATAACTTCAAAAACAAATCAGACCTTTTATATCCAGAGTGATGCTGAGTGAGAAGTCCTTGGCCTGGTTGATGGTAATGACACTGTCCACAGGTAGATCAAAGTGTCCTACACTCACATCCAAGGAGTCTGAAAAAAAAATTAGGAAAATATAATGCTGGAAACAATTTTCACCCTTAAACCTCATACTATATTTGGAGCAAAAAATGATCATCACTTAGACCATTTGTGCATCGAATTTCATGTTTATTTTCAATTGGTTTTCAATGTAAATATGACAAGGATGTTTAAGCACAATGCAATACAGAATGTTCTGATTGACTAGCACTCATCTATCAGGGTCCTGACTTTAGGATAAACCTTTATTTAGTAACGTTCAGTCATACTACAGTACAGTTAACACTTCAGCACCAAGGAGAGGATCCACAGTCTTGCACAGATTTGTAATTCTAATAAATGTGATTTGATTCTTGGCATAGTCCTATTTTAGGGTAAAAATAAGCATGAATGTATGATAAGAAATGTCCATCAGAACAAATAAAAACTTTGCAAACTTTCCTTCACTTTTAAAAACCCTGCATTTCCATACTCAAAAGAAAATTCAAACTCTATCAACCAGTCTGAGATTACTTCAGAACATATCGAGTGACATATATTTGTCTTCTTCAGCAAATTTCCATGTTTTTTCTTCTTACTCAGATATTTCCAGTAAGAACAGAACATAACTTACTTCCGGAACAGTCCAATGTTCCAGGAGGTAAGTCCAGGACGGCTACGTTGTTTGAGGTCACTCCATCACTGTCTCCGACTAACAGATCTCCTTCCTCCACCATCACTATAGCCTGAAAGCATAAAAAAACAGTGGCAGTGGGGTCGTGTGGCATAACAGAACTAGCTAGAGTGCTCGGCTCTTGCCATGTCACCAATCTTGTGCCCTTGGGAAAGGCACTTTACATGAGTTTCCTCACTTCACTTGGGTGAAAGTAGCTAGTAATTTGCTCTGATAGAAGCATGACTGTTGTGACTCAGCGCCAAATGTTACCTTTGTAGGGTTCCCTTCACAGATGTGTTGGTCCAGTGTAAAAGGCATCTCCAGTGAGTGCCGAATGGTCTCTCCACCCTCCAGAGTCCTGCTCATGTCGTAAGCTGACCCTGTCTGGTACACTGCACCCCACGTGGGGATCTCCACAGGCCTGCCCTGGTGCAGATCGTCACTGTCATGTAGGTAGACCTATGATACAAGAGAGAAACAACAAGAATGGTGTTGAAAAAACAAATTGGCGAAACATGGTTGTTGTTTATATGATTGTACAATCATGGTGGATTATGTAAGATATTGTAGCAATTGCACATATTTTAGCTAATTGGTATGATAGAGCACCAAGGTTGACTCTCTAATATCATGATATTTTTGAGGGACTAGTAGTAGTCGTTATGGCGCACTAATAGCAGTTCTACCAGTATATGTTCAATTTGTCATTCCTGGCGTAAATTTATAAATTTGCTTCATAGTAATTATCCATATCAAAGAGAATGTTTTGAGCTCAATGCATTTGTTTACTTCCTCCATAATGATCATACCTCCCGAGGCTAGTTATTATGCAGCAAAGTGTCTTTGTCTTTCTGTCCTTATGATACTGATTGAAAGCTTGTCCATAAGCAAAAATTCAAAAATAAAAAAACTTTGGGTAAAGGACAATGTATTAAAAAAATTAAAATTTAAAAGCATAAAAACAAAGTACTGTTCCAACCTTGATACTGAATGTCTTTGGGAGTGGTGAGGGAGTGGAGGTTGTATTTGTCTGTGTTGTGACGGTGGTGGCAGGTTGAGGGGTTGGGGTGGCAATACCAGTTACGGCCTCTGACCCCAAGTAGTGCACGGTGTAGTCCAGAGACAGGGTGTTGGTGAGGTCCAGGAAGTACACTTTCTGCTCTGTTGGGTTTATACTGACGTCTGACAGTACAAACAAATCTAAGGAAGTAGAAAAAGTGGTTCAAAACTTGCCCTTAATGGTCTTTTACAATCATGCAAGTATAAATTAAATATGTACACCATATTTCCCTCAAAAGCAGTCACTGTGATAAAAGTTGATGCTTAAAGAACCAAAATTAAATAAAGCTGTAAACTTAATATGTTAGTTAAAGTCCGGTTAAATGTGGTGCATAGTAAAGTGCCCATCTCCGATTCAGTAGCCCTTTGGCCACACAGGATGGATAGTCCACTAGTAGTTGTTTCTGTTTAACTCCCATACTCTTTAACTACCCATATGTTGAATGGTAAGCAGAGAAGGAGGTATAATGTAGTATTTTCAAATTTAAAGTCTTTGGTACAACTCAACCGGAGATCAAACTAATGACTTACAGAATGCAAGGCGAGCACTCTACCCACTTGGCCATTGCGGTGGTCACAAAGTTATGAGTAATATATTATAGCAAGAGGGACTGTATGACTAGTCAATGACTATGACATAATTATATACCTTCTGCACACTGGTAGAGTATTTCCAGAGATGCCTGGTTGTTGTGTTCACTGCTCTCCTCCACACGATTCTCTACATCCACCACTGCTACCAGGTAAGCCGTGCCACAGTACTGCTGGTCAGTGTAGCTGGGAACAGTCTAGTACAACAGGAAAATATACAGTTATAAAATAGCCTAAAACTGTCAGACTTACATGTAGTGGGAGAAGAAAAAGAGGATGACCCAAAACCACTAAGTCATGGAGAAGAACTGTGACAGATGAAGTGTTGTCCATGGCTAATCCTGGCAATCAGTAAACTTGAGATAAAGACATTTAGGACAGACCAAGATGGAACAAAAAAGTCATGGCCTTATGTATCATTAATATTTGTGATGAAGAGGATAAGTAAGTGGTGATTGTTATTAATTACTAGAAAATTTACAATTATAGTCAATATAGAGTCATTACAAGTCATCATCGGAAATGATGGACAACCAGAGAGAGAGAGAGAGAGAGAATTTACAATTAAAAAAAGGGATTCCCACTCTTACAATGTTGAGGACCTGATGGATTATGCAAAACATTTAACAGTAACCATTCAGTCACAACTGTCACCCTGTAGGACTGGTATATATACAATATATATATATCATAGTCATCTGTGATTAAAAATGATGCACGTGATTGTATTATACTGTAGAATGTTTTTCTTGAAAACTGCTAATTACTGATAGCTTTCCCCTTTTATTTTAAGAGGAACAGCAAAAAATGACAGAAGCATGTTACCAGTGTTTGGCTGTCTTCCGTGTAGACTATTTCTTGGTCAATGGGGTCCCAGTCGTTGTCCTTTGACATGTAGAACTTCAGAGAGTAATCTTCATCACTGAAACTTCCACTGGACACAGTCTGTAGGAACAGATAATAAAGAAAATATTGTCAAATGTATTTCTACATCTGTAATTTTCATAACATTAATTTTGATGCTTGCAAATGAAGTTAAATCTTCTAATGTTGTGCAAGTTGTTGTAAAATGTTTTATCAGTGATACATTGATTTTACCTTTGGCCTTTAAATGAATCATGAAAATTACATCAAATTTTCTTGCAGAAAAAACATGAAGGCGTACAGTATGAAAAGTACAAAAGTATGTTATCTGGTTTGCTTTCTTGTGTTCAGCTATTACATGTAGATCTACAACATATAATAATTATTCTTCTCAAAACAAAGTACAAAGTCATGTAACTTACAATAGAGATCTCTTCAGGCTGTTCTTGTTGAACAACATTGTCCTCATCACTAAGGCTGAACTCTGTAATGACTAGGTCACTGGTACCTAGGGCAAAAAACATGGGGGAATCATTCACATTTTACCATACTTTTGGTTGATACAACTTAACATCACATAACAAATTCAAATTGAAATCTACATGTAAGACTCATAATTCTGTTACAAAGTGACTTTACCTGCACAATTGAGGTCAGTAAATTGGTCAATGGGATATGCCATATAGTTGTTATGAAAGATGGTTTCAGTATAAGGCAGTGCAGGTTGGGCATGGACTGCAACCATTAGGTACCTACATCACACACAAGGATCAGGAAAAAAACGAAAGTGATCTTGAGCAAGTTTTGACAAATTTAAGTTATTATAATAAATAGGAGTCAAATTTGACCCCCGAGCATGCCTCAAACACTGCTGACTTACTCCTAAAATTACTAAAAAAACTGATTGACATGTTTAATTTGATAATTTCTGATCAATCTAATGCAAGAACTTACTGTGCTGCATCGCAGGCCTCTGCAGGCAAGGTGACATACCCCACCACGTCCTTCAGCCTGATGTGCCCATGTTCCCTCATGGCCCCATTCAGCTGTCCCTGGATGTCCACCATGGGGGCCTTGTGTTGCATGGGTTGTCTGTAGGCTTGTGGGGAAGGCAGAAGTTCCAGGTGCAAATCCCAGTAGTCAAAGCTGTGGAGGTCCAGTGTTGGGGTTACGGACAGGTAGGCCTGCAACATAACATTGGCTAGTCAACTACAAGCTCCAACCATTGGACAATCTTCCTGAAGTTGAAACACTTTTGGAAGAGTGGGTAAAGGTACATGTATATTGTGCCAACAAAAAAAAGCAAAATTCTTCAAGTAAGGAAATAAATGACAAAAATGTACAGTAAATGTCAATATCAGACAAATTTTCTCACTGAAATTATCTTGGATACCTTCAAACCATGACAGCTAATTACATGTATTTAGCCGTCTGCCATGACACTACTACCATGACATACATTGTACAGTAACCACTGGCATAAATGGCCAATATCTGCGTTTTAAACCCTTATCACCACATACTCAGACAGGCCAACAAAATTAATGGCCTGTTCCACAAATTATAGCTAATCATCACTCTTGAGAGTGCAATTGTTAAAGCTATTCTAATAGTGGTTTGCTTGGTTATTATCTATTTCTAACTTGTCAAGTATTCTAGCCAACAATGCCTAACATCCATCTTTCCGTCATTTGATGGAATTTTTGAATTAGGATCTTTGAATTTGGAAGCGCAACACCAGGCCTCATGCCTTAGACACTAGACATAATGTCAAAAATAAAATGTCAAAAATTGAGATGACAGGAAAAATTTCAGGCTGACTATAACACTGTCTGTAACTACCTTGAAGATGAAATTGTCCTCCTTCAGGTTAGCCATGATTGGGTGAGGAGAGAGGTTGATGAGGTCAGCGTCGAAGGAGATGAGCGTTGGTGCGTCTGGAGCGATGAACGTCTGTGGCAGGACTGTACGTACCTGGAAGTTCTCCATACCCAGCACATCTGGATATTCAAACACATTTTACAATCTAGTTGGATTAAAACTACAATGTAGTTTACTAGGTACCAGGAGGATATAGTGATTTTCCTTTAATGTCTCTTACCTTGCTTACAAGTATGTTCCTCAGAGCTTTTTACTGGAGTTCTGCTTCTCACTGCTAGCTAGCCAATGTAGACAGCACTTTTGCAGAGAGAAGCAGAGCTAGTACTTCAGTTATAAGATACTCCGAGAAAGGTGTCTGACAATCCTTGAACATGTATCTTATACATTGTATATACCAGGATATGTTCTACCAACCTGATAAAATTATTTTTGGTACTAGGTAGTAACTACACATGTTCAAGGAGGTATAGAGGAATTTTGAGTTCAACAGGGACTACATTTACTAAATGAATGTCAACCAAGGTACAGCGTGGTTTACAATTAATATACTTTACTATACACTTACCTCCATCACATTTGAGTAGGACCTCGATGGTCATGAAGTCATTGCTCCTGACCGGGTCAATCCTGGCCATGTTGGGCTTCTGTGGCCACACAATGGCAGCCAGGTACGCTACACCACACAGCGGCTCCACTCCAAAATCTTCATGCTGCAAAAGAGGAAGTTCCAGGAAAATTTGGTTAAAGTGATATTATGTAAGATTTTTACTATTATAATTTTTTCCTTGTTCTACACATTTTCTTGCGCTATAAGCCTAGTACCTGGGTTCATAGTCATATATGACAGTTGGGGAGTAAAAGATCAACATCGTTCCACCGCAAAAATGTGTTGGAAGCTGTCTTATCATTTACATTGCTTGAATTTTGCATTATTTTGGCATAAGTCTGGCACCATCGATTGTTTCAGTCCATACATATGTCTATCAGAAGTTGAGAAAAGGATAAAGAGAGCAACGTACCTGTACCGTGAGTCCATGGCTGTTGAACTGATGAATGACATTACTGGCCACTCCCTGCCTGAGGATGTCCCTGTTCTCTGTGCTGTAGTTATGGTTCAGTCTGATGCCTTCTGTGAAAGGGTCTTCAAAAGACATTACAGGCATGTTAGTAAGGGCTCGAAATACTGGGTGCACATGCACCTTTGTGCAGGTAAAATTGAAGCTCTGATGTCTACATGCACCTAACCTGCACTGGTCCATGTACTGGGTATATGCAGGTTAGTGCAGGTACACAATGTAAATTGGAGCTGTGCTGGTATTTCTGATGTCTACCTGCATCTAACCTGCACTGGTCCATGTACTGGGTTTATATTATGTAGGTATATAATGTAGTCTTATCAATTTGCTTCATTGACTGTTGCCACCTACGACGTATTAAAGAAATGATGGAAAACATCACTGTCCCTATTATAAATTCAAGATGGCGGCGATGACGGTCACGACGGTCATACGCTCCTGCTAAAAGTTTTTCTATTGCGTCTTTACCTTGGAATCTATCCTATATTAATTTTTTACTACCTGGAACTTTTAAAAGATAGTTCTATTACTTTCGATTGCTCTTAGCTAACTTAGATCTCGATTGCAAGAGAAATTCGGCTGATCCAGATAAACCCAAGCCGACGCGGAGTTGGACACAATGGCGGACGTTCACGGAGACCTCTATGCCTCTCTGGGTCTGACGCCGACGGCTTCCCGAGACGAAATCCTGGACGCCTACAAGAAGGAGATCATCATGTACGAAGAAGCCTCGAAGAACAGCCGAAAGTCCAGCGCATTCAAGGAAGCAGATGCCAAGTACCGCTCGGTAAGCAGGGCATTTTCTGTTCTCTCTGACGCGTCGCGTAGACAATCGTACGACAACAGTCACACTATACCAGAGACTCCAAAGGCCACCCGACAAGCACTGAGACGCACGGCAGAATATCATGTAAAGGAAAATGAACAGAGCATCACGATTTTCCTTCCGAAGAACCTTGCAAAGTCATGGCTTGAATCGTGCCAAGAACATCATGACACTCTAGCGACAAATGGAGGGAAAAACGGCTACCAGATCAAAACTTCGTTTGTTGATGTCAAGACCGGGCTTGCTTTCGGCACTGTAAGCGTCAAAGTCTACGAATCTACACAGAAACTGTTGATACAAGGCTCTGCCTATCTCCTGTGGTTTTCCGAGGTATTCCCAGTGCTGAAAGAGAAAATCAGTAACGCAGCTCAACATGTGCCGCCAGCGACAGTAACTACAGATGAAGTTTTGACGCCTAAATCTACAGATTCATCTGACGTACGCTCACTGTGTTCAACTTGTGGTCAACCTTTGACATCCGAGGCGTGCACCACATGCACTACTGTCCCAAAAGTACTGTTTGATGAAAACAGCAACGAAACAGGCGAAGATGTATCGGAAGTTATGTTTGACGAAGACAACAAGGAATCGAGAGAAAGTGTACCAGGCAATAAGAAGGACCTGTGTAGTTGTTCTGATTTGTCTGTTTTACAAGACAGTGTCAACAAACTAGAAACCTGTCTCGTCAGTTCGATTTCAGACAGAAAGTCAGCCGAGTCCTCCATGCTGCAAAGAATGAATGCACTGGAAAACACGATGAAAACTCAGATGTGTATTGATCTGTCATCCACTGACAAAAAGAAGCTCCAAGACGAGATCGCGCAACTGACAAAGGCCAAGAATGAACTACAAAAACAGGTCGATTCACTCCAGCTAAAGTTCGAGGAACTGGCCAGCGTTGTCGACAGAACACAAACAACTGTCTCGTTAAAATCAACAGAGACCCAAACATCTATTGAGTCCTCAGAACGCTCAGAAAAGCTACTACGTGAACTAGCAACAATCAGTGTACAAAACAGATACCAGGTGCTGGAGAATGACAATGAAGTGTTGAACATGGACACAGGCACCGACACTTCGAACACCAGTGCGAGGCGCCATGATCAGAGTGCTAAACCTGGAACAAAGAAGACCGCACGCATGGCCAATGCCAACAACAATCTACAAGACAAAACAACAAAGACAACAAGCCAACGAAACAAAGACTTGCCGCCAGACGTCCTCATCCTGGGGGACTCCAACACAAAGGGTATTAAAATGGACGTCCTGTACCCGAACAAAAGTGCGAAACGAGAAGTAACGTACACAATAACAGAAGCAACAGAACATGTACAACAATCAACCATGCCCGACCCTAAGGTGCTCTTGTTTCATGTCGGTACTAACGACGCAAGGGAGACTCGTGACGCGACATCAGTTACTGATCGCTACCGAAAGCTGATACACACTGCACATGAGAAGACAAGAGAACACAACTCGTCCTATCCTCCATCCCGCCCAGAGACGACCCCGTTCTCCAACAGATAGGGGATAGTGTGAACTCCTGGATGAAGGACATTTGTGAAGAAATCCAGTATGTGCACGTCATCGACAACAACAATCTGGCAGACATGGGATCGATAAAGCCCCGGCTATACAACGATGATGGCTACCACTTAAACCGATTCGGGCTACGGGTGTTAGCGGCCAACATTAAAAGGACAGTAAACCCGATGATAGGCCTAGGCCAGTATGTCAGCAGGGCCGCTAGACCCAACCAACCCTCTACTCATAACCGCCCTGAGTCGTCAAGACCCCCCAGAACACACAACCAGGGACGCAGGGACGGTCAAGGTCGCGATCCTACCGCTTTCATGTCTTCCCATTCCCCTACCTACGAGCGAGAGTTCCCAACGCTCGACCAAGCGCGTGTAACTGGTCTGTTTCCCAAGAGGAACTGTCCTGATAAGAGACGAGAACAATTCTCTAGAGTACAAAGGTCTACGGATGCACCAGCTGTACCGAGAAACCCCCCTCCCCCAGGACCTCCACAAAACCAAGGTCAGCCTCCGTGTGGAAGTCCCAACGCGTTCTTGGACCGTTCGGCACCGACAGGACATCCGACAACGGCGCACGGACCTCAGCCTGCACGTCCACCCGTCCAGCCGAGACAGCCTCCGGGACCCTGGGGAAGCCCTCCCCTGTTCAACCTGCCTCCTACACCGTGGGGATTCCTGCCACCTCCTGCCTCGGTATCCGGCCCGCATACGCGAATGAACTCTCCTTGGCCCTGGCATCCTGCCATGATGTTTTCACCAATGGTTACTAGTTACTAGTAACTTGTGGTAGGAACACTCTAACATCATATTCTGTCCATAAAATAAGGAATATTATGACATATCATTACTAGGTCAAACTATTCCTTAGCACTTCTAAAACATGCATAGGTTAGAATGCCAATCTAGGAATTTAGTAAAGATTTATGTTTCTAATATTTACATGGTCAAACCAAGGAGCCTTTTTCTCAAAAAGCTCCTACATTAAGCCAACATTTTAGTTATGATGTTTTGAATGTTTTTTTTTCTTTTGTTATCTTTGTTATTTTTTTTTTTTTTTTTTCATGGGTAAGATATGTTTAGGATCTAAGGTAAAGACACAACTTGAGGAATCATCTTTGATGAAAACATTGAAGGGTAGAAGTAAGAGCTTCGCCGTTTGGAACGTACACGGTTTAGGCTCGAAATTAGAAGATGTAGAGTTTTTAGATGAAATATGTAAATTCGACTTCTTTTCGTTACTTGAAACATGGAGCAATGAAAACACAAAGATCAACATCGCTAATTATAGCTACTTCCATCTGCACAGAACAAAAAGTAAGCGAGCAAAACGCTCTTCGGGGGGAATAATATTTTTCTACAAAAACGAATTCAAAAATCACATCAAGAAAGTACCTTCCAAATCGACAGACATCCTCTGGGTGCAAATAGATCGTACCCTGTTAGGACTTCCAAAAGATTTATTTATTTGTTCAGTTTATCTAAGCCCCAGCGCTTCTACTACCCATAAAAATGCTGAGAATCATGTATTAGAAATTCTAGAAGAGGAAATTTGTAAATACAGTTCAGAGGGATTCATACTTCTAGGGGGAGATCTGAATTCGCGCACTGGTAATCTCCGTGATTATGTAGATGATGAAATTAACAAGGACGGCTTTACCGACATTCCCTCAAACTATGTTAGCAAATGACAATTTGTTGACAAAGCGCCCCACAATAAGTTCGGCCGTCTGCTAACCGATCTGTGCATTCAGGCCGACCTCAGAATACTGAACGGCAGGGTCCCTGGTGACTTGCAAGGTAAATTTACTTGTCACCAACCTAACGGTAGCAGCACAGTCGATTATATTATTTGCAGCCAATCTTTCCTCCAAAATGTTTTATTGTTTCAGGTCCATCCCTTAACTCCCTTTTCTGACCACTGTGTGTTATCAGTTTTCCTTCACTCTGACTCAGTACATCAACAAAACAAACATAAACACGATGCAAGGTCAAAAACAAAACCCCTCCCTAAACGTTTTCACTGGAATGAAAAATCTACCCAAAAGTTCGTCCGTACACTCTCCCAATCTCATTTTTCTAAAAGACTGAACTCCCTTTCATCCAAAAACACTACTTCGACGGTAGAAATAGAAACATTTGTCTCGGAGTTCAGTTCAATTTTGAGAGACGCCGGTTCCAAGTCCTTGTCAATTAGGAGAACAAATAACAAGAAACGCCCTCCACTAAAACAAAAGAAACAATGGTTTGACAAGAGTTGCGTCGAACTAAAACGAGAAGTAAAGAACTTGGCATACTTACTTGTAAAGCAACCGTCAAACTCAGACATAAGAGGAAGATATTTTAAAAGAAAGAAGGAATATAGAAAACTAGTAAAAAGAAGAAAGGGACTTCCACAAACACATAATGTCCCAACTTGTCTTCACTTAAAGACAGAAATCCGGCTGCATTTTGGAATTTGGTAAACAAATTAAAACCATCAAAAGCTCAAGAAGTCAATCAAATCTCAGAAGAAGACTGGCTTAAACATTTCAACAACTTAGACAAACTTTCCAGTAACACTACAAACGACCACATCACAGATTGTAACAATCTTAATTTATCGTCAGTCCCTGAAAATCCTTCTGTTTTAGACTCACCAATAACTCCAGAAGAACTGAATACTGCCATCTCTAAACTCAAGAACAATAAATCAAGTGGTGACGACATGATTCTGAATGAAATGTTAAAGTCAGGCAAATTAGTGCTTCAAACTCCACTCCTTCAATTATTTAATACATGTCTGCAAAACGGGTACTTTCCTGAGGAATGGTCCATCAGCCACATTGTTCCAATCCACAAGTCTGGTGATCCTTCTCTTCCAGACAACTACCGGGGTATATCTATAATTAGCTGCCTAGGAAAATTATTTTCGTCAATATTAAACTGTCGCTTAGTTAGCTATGCTGAAAATAATAATCTCTTCAAACCTCATCAGGCAGGTTTTAGGAAAAATTTTAGAACTACAGATAATCTATTCGTATTAAGCACCCTAGTTAGCAAATATATTAGTAAAAATTCTCGTCTCTTTGCCTGCTTCGTAGATTTTAGTAAGGCGTTCGACTCTATCTGGCGAAATGGACTCCTAGTTAGATTAAACAAGTTAGGTATAGAGGGAAAATTCCTGAAAACAATCAAAGACATGTACTCAAAAACCACTAATCGAGTTAAAAGCAGTAACGGTCTGACTGAACCTTTTGCTACAAACTGCGGTGTCAAACAGGGCTGCAATTTAAGCCCGACTTTATTCAATTTATTTTTAAGTGATCTTCCATCTGTATTCGATAACGATAGCTGTAATCCACCAACCATGTTTAGTAAGCGAATACCTTGTTTGTTGTATGCAGATGATTTAGTCCTTTTTTCCGAATCCAAGCAAGGACTACAATCATTCTTAAATATATTAGAAGAATATTGTAATACCTGGAAGTTAAATGTTAACCTCAAGAAAACAAAGATTATTGTTTTCACTAAGGGGGGTCGTATACCAAAGGATCTATTTTTTGTGTATAAGAGAAATTCTGTTGAAATAGTTACATCATATTGTTATTTAGGTATTGTTCTCAATGCTGCGGGTACTTTCAAAGCGAATAACAAACACCTATACAGCAGAGGCCTAAAAGCTCTATTTGGGATAAATCAGTCACTAGACAAAGCGGACGCCCCATTGTCTGTCAGAAACAAACTTTTTGATACCTGCGTTAATTATAAGCCCATAATTCTTT